TCACATAAACTGTATTATTCAATTTATTTACCAGTAATCCATATTTATTACCATGGATAGATTCCATGGAAAAAACTTGAACAAATGGCCCAACCACCCGCCACACAGATCCATGCGGCAAGGCACAGCTGCTTAACCTTGGGCGCCAGGACGCGCGTGTGGCGTTATCAGGGTCGCTTCTGTCCCGTGGCCTTGGGACTTGCGGATCTTGCGACAGAGGAGCGGTCCAGCTCGAGCTGGGATCCGCAGATTGTCATTTGGCTTACCCTCCGGTAATTTATATAACAAAGCTATTGAAAATGGTCATTTATAGTGGATTTTCCGACTAAAAATTGTGATGTTCAACAGCTATGTTAGTTTACCAGAGGGTAATGATGTTTATGTGATGTTTATATGATGTTTGTTGCCTGATGATGAATGACAAAGAACAGTGACAATAAACATAGGCTACAGTCTTGACGTGTGGATTGAGAGCAACACGGGTCTTGAGGCAATCGGAGACGGTCAACTAGGCCAGTTTATCCCAGAATGGTTGAGGGGCGCTACCATCAAAGGAAAAAATGTGAAGCATTTTGGCAATTAATTATGGATCTTAAAGTCCCAAATCAGATTTATTATTGGTTCAATTTACGTCGTAGGAGGAAAAAGTTGGAACCCATTTCCTGCATGGAGCCATTTTTTTATGGCGGGGTGATCGGGCATCAAGGTGAAGTGGCGGCCCACTGGCTCTTGTCAGCTCTTTGGGACAATGTTTTTTCCACAGGAAGGGCCCTCGTAGTGATGTGTGTTGGTTTACGTTACCCCATCTACAGTATGGCAGTATGGCCTAGGTTTCGATATTTGTTTCATGGATTGAAATGGAAGAGCCCCCATTTATGTTATATACTGTATGTAAAATGTGATGATGATGATTATTATTATTATGTTGGGTTGCCTAGTTACAATAAACTTATCTATTGTTTAGGGCTCCTTCCCGTAGTTCTTGATGCCTTTGTTGAAGGGCCCAAGCTGACACTTCCGGAGGAGAAAAAGAATTTCTTTGCCAAACTCAGCTGGGTCTATGAAAAGGCACAAACTGGTCATGCGGGTGAGTCCCTGGAGCCAAGGGTTGAGGTATCCGTATGGGGAACCGCAAGAGGTATACTTCACCCATGAGCCCAGAGAAAATTATATAATCAAAATTGAAAAATACTAAACCTTCAAGGTCAGTCGGATTGATTGGGAACAAAAACTTGGGGCCATGGTCTTGTTCCAATGAGCTTAACCATCATGTTAAAAGCCATGGTGCTTGACCAATTTCCAATTCTAGTTGAACTTGAGGGCTAAAGCCGTTGAAATAGCCTATTGCAGGGGAACCAAAAGCAGGGGAACCAAAAACAACCCCTATAAAGGGGTTTATCGCGAACTGGTGTATCCCACAATTCCAAACCAGCAAACCAAACCGCCACTTAGTAATTGGCTGCAAGCAGACCTGTTTGCCTCACCCTCTTGCAATCAAAGATTGCAATGGTGGCAACGGAACATTCCTCATTTATCGCTCATTTTCCCATTGATAGATGTTTTTTTTCTCGGGGGGATAAACATGGCTAGCCATGTTTGGTTACCGGCTGATATCTTCATTATATCATTATTGCTGTAGTTTCAGTAAAACACAATTAAATCATCTGGATGAATTATGGTTTCCTCACTGTGACGTCACTGGAATGATGGTGAGTAAGGGGAATCATCCCCATAGCTGGCGTTATTTCAACTATTTTCGTGAATTATGACAAAATCTAGCCACATGCCAGAATCTGCCAGACTCATCATTTTGATGGTTTTATAAGTTATATCATATCATATCTCTAGTCATCCTTACCAGTAGTAAAAAAATACGGCTATTGTGTTTGCTGCTTGGTCATTGAATTTACCGTCAGGTCAATGTCGCCACCGCGCAGGACGTCTTCTACTTGCAGGCGCAACGCATGAGTTTTACACATGGCTGTGGTAGAACGGTGGTTTTCACCTTTTAGATGACATAATGCAACCCAGGTAGAACTGTGACATCATTTTAGACACATGGCAATTTTAGATGTTCAATTGCACTCTGTGGTTTTCACAGGGATAATGGGTTCATGAATGGCATAATGTATTTGGATCCCGGCTGACTCCTGATTTGGATAGGAGACCATCTTGGGTGATCTCCCCCAAAGCAGGCAGCAGGCTTTTGAATGTGGGCAAATTTCAATCGTTTGATCCCAGACTGGTCTTAATGATGTTGAAGAAGCAGGAAACACTGCGTTTACGAATGCTAATTTTGATGCGTCACGTGCGTATATATAATATATATATGGGTACAAAACGAAAACCTGGCTTCATTTATCAGCCGATTGATCTAAGGATTGCTGAGGGTATGTCCAAACCACTGTCACTCCATTCACCCTGGCCCATGGCCCTACCCGGGGACCTACGGCGCACCAATGAACGGGGAATGGTCAAGTCTTGGTAGTTGGTTTGATATTCTTGATCCAAACTAGTAACTAGTGAATAAACGACGGAGCTATCTGAATAAAAAAACATATATGAATATATGTGAAATCAATAAGTTTATTTCTATATATATATATGTGTGTGTGTGCACATTTATGTATAATATATGTGCATTAAAGTAAAGATCCCCACAGACTTTTTTTTTTTTTGTGGCGGCCCTAGGCCGCATTGACGGATCCAAGATTCCAATGCGGAGACGAAGGGCTGCTTTTGACCATGACACCGGGGTAGTGGCTGAGACCCGGTGGTCTACCTGATATCTGCAAGGTGGTGCCCCTCAGTTATAAGTTGGTTTATAAACCATAGTAAATATAGATATATCTACCATAAACCATAGTTATTGGAGTTAGTGGCACCAACTTAGCTAACGAACTGGGGCACCACCTTGTGCTGATTTTTGGGATTTTATGGCGACTCATGGGAATTTCGCCAAGAAGAATGAGGATATGGGGATGACCCTTTGGTAAATTAGCATAACTCATGGGAATTTCACCGTTTTTACCCTCTAGTTATTTAACATAGCCATGGAACATAACCCATTTACAGATGATTTTCTCAGCTAGAAACCTCCATTTATAAGGGATTTTCCATGGCTATGTTAAATAACCAGATGGTAATCGATAGATCATATAATCAGCTATAAATGGCAATGTTCAATAGCTATATACTCATCCAGGAGTAGATAGAATATGGACATGTCAAAAAAAACAATTCACCAAAATTGGAGCATCTGTGAAAATCCCATATTCGATCTACTTCAGGATGATTAGATCATGATCTGTATATGATTATGCTGGTCATATCCAGCTATTATGATCTACAATGGTTGTAACTGGATATCATGATATCCAGCTACAACGATGGTCCTGGCGATATGTTCCTAGATTTGCTCCATGCTTTCTACTTTCCCAATGGGAAGTCCATTGGAATGGAGGAGTCGAAGAAGGGTATTTGCTGGGGGGTTCCTTCAGCAAATCCAACTAACTGTGTTTGGCTTTGTCTGAAAATCGTGTACTCCTAAGCCGGAGTAACATAATGTTTCCAATTGTGAGGCTACATTGGGGGTATACCCCATTTTCAGTTTCAGCCATAGAACTCTGATGTGATTTGCCTTGTCGGCTTTGCAGGTGAGTTGGGAGGTTTTTGTTGTCACCAGGAGCAACCAATCCTGTGACTTCCGCAACCTTAGTGTAACTCACCTGAAAAAGCCTGAAGTTTTGAGGCATGTTTCACCCAGAGAATGATCCAACATAGTTGATTCAGCTTAAGTTTTTGGAAGAGTGTCATGCCAAAAAATGATGGAACACCTGGTGAACACCTACTAAACCTACCCCACCAACTATATTGTGTTGTTTTTTTGTATTGTATTTCGGGCATGTGTTGGGACCGCATGTGTTGGGTGGTAAGTAATTTAGGGATTACTGGTATTCGAGCAGTGTGACCTTTGCATTTGTTTCGTGGACCCTAATGACTCTTTCAATCTCGCTCTCTGCCTCATATATATATATATAGATCATGTAAATAAATTTGAAAAATAAGAACATATATGTATATACATACACATTCTATGATATATACTTATTCCTTTACTTATGTTTATTTACATTCAGAATCCATATATTTTTATATATGTATATATAAATATATAAATATATACAAACACTTTTATATGCACATATATCTAACAAGATAGTTATATATATATATATTCAGTATACTTAATATTTACTTATATGCAGCGAGAGTGAGAGAAAGAGGACATGTCAGGGGTACTGGTGTCTTCCTCATGTGGTATGGATCTCATGTGCCATCCAGTTGAAAAGAGGTAAAGCCTATAGAAGGCCAAGACAACACAAAGATGCAACTGAACTGACAAGTAGAGAACTTATGTCACTATTCCCCATAACTAAACTTCACTTTTGAAGTTTGCCGGTATTGGGACCCAACCAGAATCAACCAGATGTTTTTCTTGCTTATTGTTTATAAGCTGTAGTGAAGTGGTTCTGTCGGCAGATGAGTGCTCTTCGCCAGGCTTACGTAGACAAGTCCCCAGCTCTATGGGCAGTCAAGTGGTAATACCGTTCCCAG